GACTAGATGGGACATTGGCTTGACCCAGCAGGCTCTTATGTTGATATGTTTTTGTGCTCAGGTTCTACTTTTGGGCTTCCTATTGGGACATCTGGTTGGCCATGGTGAGAACAGAATATGGGACTAGATTGGACATTGGTCTGATCCACCGGGGCCCTTCTTATCTTCTTATGTCTCAGTTTAAGGCAGCTTGCAATGCTCCTCTTTCTTTTTCTTTGGTTTTCATGTGATGGTATTTCTGATAAACAGAAAACAGTGTTCACTTCCTCCCTCCCTCATCCTTCCTGCCTGCACTCAAATTGGTCGAAGTTGTGTGCAAACATTGCTTCTGCCAGTCCCTCTTGACCTTGTCTGCCCATTTGTGACCTCTTCTGGGCTGAAACACTAATGGTCCTTAAAACTCAAATGACACAGCAAGGGCTGTGAATGGTATGGAACTTGAACTCCCACAGCTCCTGCATCTCTCCATAAAGCTGTGTGTCAGACCATATCCATCATGCCAGCTTTCTCTGTGTGATGTCAGTCAACACAAATTGATGTGACCTGACAAGAGCTGTTCATATGTGACACAAAGACCTGCCACCGTGTGATTAATGGAAGTGCACTTGGCGAGTTCAGTCCAACTTGTTTCTGACATTTCCATCACAAAGGCTCCGCTTCCAAGCATTAATGACGCTTCCATCCCCTCCACTCATAAAACTCTATTGCACTCAATTATTCCATGGTCAGGTCCCACCTGGAGTTCTGTGTCCAACTATGGGCACCACAGTTTAAGAAGAATATTGACAAGCTGGAAAGTCTGCAGAGGAGGGTGACCGAGTTGGTCAAGGGTCTGGAAACCAAGCCTTATGAGGAATGGATGAGGGAGTTGGGGATGTTTAGCCTGGAGAAGAGAAGACTGAGAGGTGATATGATAGCCGCCTTCAAATATCTACAGAGCTGTCACATGGAAGATGGAGCAAGCTTGTTTTCTCCTGCTCCAGAGGGGAGGACTCAAAGCAATGGATACAAATGACAAGAAAGGAGATTCTGAGTACTTTCTGATGGTAAGAGCTGTTTGACAGTAGAAGGAGAGAAACATGGAAGAATGGAACCCTTTTCCATTTTCTCTCTTAACGCTATGAGTTTTTCAATTCTGCTGGATGCAAATCCTACTGGGATTCTTTGGAAAGGTCTACCCTGAGCTCTTCAAACAAAATATGGCATCTGGGTGAAAGGCAGTGTAGTTTAGGGTCCAGTATAGTGGAGTACCTGTGGCATGTCAATATTAACCCCCACCCAACTTAACTTGCTTCCTCATTAGGTTTCCAAGGGAGCCCCAAGCCACAGTTTTGAGTCCAGCACAGAGCAGGGCTTGTCTCTGTCTCCATCTTCCAGTATCAGCCCAATTTTCACACACAGTTATCTCCTACACACACCCCTTGGCTGATTCTCCAACGTAGGATGGTGTAGCATCCAGCCAGTGGTGGTGGGGAAAGGCTCACCCATTTGTCTTTATGGCAACAGAGCAACCTCTTGGTATATGAAGTTATGGTGCTTAACTAGCCAGTCAAAGCCAGTACCTTGACAAAGAAACAGGTTTGATTGGCTTCCACCTATACCACTCTTATACCTTTAGAAGAGGGACACGGGTAGCGCTGTGGGTTAAACCACAGAGCCTAGGGCTTGCCGATCAGAAAGTTGGTGGTTCGAATCCTCACGACGGGGTTGCTTGGTCCCTGCTCCTGACAACCTAGCAGTTCGAAAGCACGTCAAAGTACAAGTAGATAAATAGGTACCGCTCCGGCGGGAAGGTAAACGGCGTTTCCGTGCACTGCTCTAGTTCACCAGAAGCGGCTTAGTCATGCTGGCCACATGATCCAGAAGCTGTACACTGGCTCCCTCGGCCAATAAAGCGAGATGAGCACCGCAACCCCAGAGTCAGCCACGACTGGACCTAATGGTCAGGGGTCCCTTTACCTTTACCAGGGACCCAGAATATCATTCAGACTGACCACCCAATCACATAACTGTATATTACAATCATGTGTTTTAAGGCATCTGAAATCTTGAAAATCAAACAATGTGTTGCAAAGTGTTGCTATTGGTCACTGGTGTTGCTTTAATTACAGCTGCTACTACAACTGCTACTACTAGCTTTGACTTCTGGAATTGCAAGCCAATATTGATGGGGTTGAGTCCTTGCATATTGATCATGTAGGGACAGCTGCTGGCCAAAGGTGATAGTTTTGAAGCACAGCCAAAGGGGAACGCTGTATCGAGAGCAATTTTGAAGCATGCTCCTTTGAGTGGCAATCTGTGCATCTGCATAAACCCTGACACAAGTCTTGGCAAAGCTAGGAGGGTCACAGAGTTTGGAGTCATTTGACGAAAGATGCTTAAGATAGTTAATTTGGCAGTCTTTTAATTCAGTGGATCGTGTCACAAATACTGCATTTGGCCATTATATATAGACGCACACCCCCTCCCCAAGTGCTCATTTAGGTGCTCTTAATGAGATTATTTCCTGGCATAATTTTTATTGATGTCTGACAGATTAATGGCCAACTCAGGACCTTGATATTCATGTTGATAATATTGAAGATAAACTGGCTGGCAAAATTTATTAGTGTATTAAAGGGATTCATCATTTGCTCCCCTCCATTAACTATGGCAATGTTAACTGCTGAATAAGTTTAGCTCTTTAGGGGATTTATTTATTTTTTTAATCAGCATGGCTGGATTTAGCTGGCGGTCCATCTAATTGAGCATCTCCTTCTTATATCTAGCTATATCTATATCTATATCATTTATCTCTATCATCTCTATCTCTATATCTATATCTATATCTACAGTCATGTGTTTTTAAGGAAACTGGAATCTTTAAAATGAGGCAATGTGTGAAAAAGTACTGCTGTTGGACATGATCGATGAGGCTGAATTCAGTTGGAGGACAGTCTGGTTAAGCATATTCTACTGCACAGTGGCCAATCAGATTCTCACAGGAAGCCCATACATAGGACACAAAGAACATTCTCTTCACATCCTCTGGTAACTGACATTCACCATGCATCTACTGAGCCAGGGTTAGCCAGTTTAATACCCTTCAGATTTTGTTGGGATAGAACTCCCATGAGCTCCAGCAAGCAGCACATCCTATGGTCAGAGATGGTGGGAGTTGTAGCTCACAACCTTTGGAGGACACCATGCTGGCTATACCTGTATCGTAGTTGACATTAGATGGAAGCAGGACTCACTCCATCCTCTCTGCTGAGACAGATGAGCTCCACCCGGCCTCCCGTCCTTCAACTGCCACATGGAAACAGCCATTCCATCAGGCTGTCTCAGTAGGAGATAGGAAGCAGAAGGCTCATTCCATCAGCTCTGCCAAAGCCCTCCTCCACCAGGCATTTCCTCCCCATAAACTATGATTGCTGATCATTAGAAGAGCAACTTTTCTAGACAGAACTGGTGCAGGAGTTTGATCCCTCTCTCTCACTGCCCTCCCCTTCCCTTTTCCCTTGTGTGGTCATGTTTTGGGGAGATGATAGATAGATAGATGATAGATAGATAGATAGATAGATAGATAGATAGATAGATAGATACCCTGCAACAACAGATGTAGGCGGATCTCCCCATTTTATTTCATCTCAGACTGTTTTGTGCACTTAGAGCTTTTTAGTCTGAAATCTGCGTATGAGCTTTCCAAACCTTTCCTAAAAGAACAAACTGTTTTTAAGTAGAAGTACGCACAAGCCTGTGTTCTCTTACAGTCCCTAGCACAAACGGAAGGAATGGAATGTAAGAAGAAGGAAACATTAGATCGGCCAAGCATAGTAATTACACTATGTCCTGGGTCGAGAAGAGAACAAAAATATCAACATAGGTAACTGAAAGCAGACATTAGCAGGCCACAAATACATGTAACAGTCAGAAGACAACAAAGAAAAATACTGAAAGACGATTACATGTATTCACATATTATTAAAATGAGAAGGTTGGGGTGGACTAGTCAGAAGAGCCAAAGGTTTAAGAATGATGACTGTGTTTTGTAACTGTGTAACTGTAACGGGAAGGATGGCTTTAATTGCCTGATTGGTTAAGTGGTAATTACAGCAGTACCTCTGGTTATGAACTTAATTCATTCCGGAGGTCCATTTTTAACCTGAAACGGTTCTTAACCTGAGGTACCACTTTAGCTAATGGGGCCTCCCGCTGCTGCTGTGTCACTGCCGCACAATTTCTGTTCTCATCCTGAGGTAAAGTTCTTACCCCGAGGTATTACTTCCAGGTGAGCAGAGTCTGTAACCTGAAGTGTTTGTAACCCGAGGTGTTTGTAACCCGAGGTACCACTGAACCGTGTAGTACCGTATTGGCCCGAATATAAGCCGCACCCACAAATAAGCTGCACCTTTAAAATTCAAGGCTTATTTGCGGATGCGACCTGCTTCACCGCTCTAATGCGTTGAACGGGGGGGAGGGGGCGGTGGCGCCAGTGCTCGGTTCTGAGCACGCTGTGAGCCCGCCTCCCAGCACTACTGCCCTGAACGGAGGGAGGCCATGCCAGCAGCCAGTACCAGCACTCAGCGCCCCACTCCCCAAGCCGGCGCTGGTGCTCGATTCCGAGCGCACTGCACCCCTGCCTCCTGGTACTACCGCTTCCCAGCACTCCCGGTGCTACCTCCTCAAGCTGGTGCCAGCTGCCCCTGTCCCCCATTCAGGGCAGTAGTGCCAGGAGTCAGGCACGCACCACTTGGTTCCAAATATGAGCCGCACTTTAACTTTCCACAGTCGGAATTTTTTTTGGGGGGGAGTGTGGCTTATATTTGGGCCAGTGTGTTGGAATGTGTATCAAATACTTTTACTGTTGTTAGCCGCTCTGAGCTCAGCTTTGGCTGGGGAGGGCGGGATATAAATAAAATTTTATTATTTTTATTAAATATGATCTCTGACAGCATCAAAGTTTAGCCTCTCTCCTAACATGTATGTTAGGAAGCTAACATACATGTTGTTGTTGTTTAGTCATTTAGTCGTGTCCGACTCTTCGTGACCCCATGGACCAGAGCATGCCAGGCACACCTGTCTTCCAGTGCCTCCCGCAGTTTGGTCAGACTCATGTTTGTAGCTTCATGGATCACTGCCTTGCCGTGGCGAAGGGGCTTGAATAACTCAGAGAAGCTATGAGCTATGCCGTGCAGGGCCACCCAAGATGGACAGGTCATAGTGGAGAGTTTTGACCAAACGTGATCCACCAGGAGCAGGAACCAGCAAGCCACTCCAGTATCCCTGCCAAGAAAACTCCATGGACAAAGGCAACAGGCATATAAAAGTTATAATGCTGGAAGATGAGCCCCTAACATACATACGTTTGTATTAATAAAAGCCTCTCCCTTTTTCAATTAAAGCCTGAGTCTATTGGTGTTCTTTTGGAGAACCCTGGTCAGGATAAATGCTTTACAAATTTATCAACACAATTACTGTCTTGTGTTAATTGCTTGTATGTAAGTCACTCCTGGGAACCTTTTTGGCTGAAGAGCAAGAAACAAATGCTTTGGATAAATAAGTAAATGAATAATAGACAATATTTGCATTGAACACCTGAGGAATCAAGGAGAGAGCTTCCCCCCCACACAAACACCAAGAAAAATATCATCGTAAAGAGGAAGAATGTGTAGAGCTTGTCTTGCAGAATTTTTAATAGTATTTGCTTTTCTGCTTTTTAAAGGATTGGCTAATAATCTTCCCCAAGGCGTGGGCAGACAAATTCTGGGGATGCACTGCTTCTGCACTGCAAGATTTAGGAATATCTCTGAGCTTGCCCAGTGGTCCTTAGGGACTACAGGAGAGGAAAACCTCTGCCTTTTTCTCATTTTGCTCTTTCTCAGCACATCTTGCTATTCAAGACTTGGGGGGGGGGATCAGGATGTGGTTTAAATAACAGGGAAGCTGTGTGTATATAGATTTACACCCTTTGTAATTGCCTTAAAAATGGTGGGAGATCCCTTTCTGTCTGGAATTAGGCAGTTCTTTTGGAGGATGTGAACAATGTCTGTAATGCTGATGGATGAAACCAAAAATACAGGCAGGATAAGAGCCCCAACGGAGACAAATGGTGAATTAAGTTTGTTTTGCTTTGGTTTTTTTAAGGGCAAAATTTGCTGTGGAACAAATGACACTCTAATTTTAAAAAAAGGAAAGTGGGTGAATGTATTCATAATGAACATTGATGGAGTAATGACATGGAGGGGAGGGAATCCTGCAAATTTGTATCTCTCCTCTGTACAGCCCCTGATACTGTGTTGGCTGTGAGTGAACCCTACCCCTAGCAACAGAAGGAGAAGAAGCCTAGACTATCTACCTAGGCAGAGAGTGAGTAGTGCACTTAGAATCATTGAATTACAATTGGAAGGGACCCTCAAGGACCATCTAGCCCAACCGCTTGCAGTGCAGGAATCACAGCTAAAGAATTCCTGCCAGATGGCCATTCAACCTCTGCTTTAAAATGTCCATTGAAGGAGAGTCCACCACCTTCAAAGGTAGTCTATTCCACTCGTGCACCATTCTTCCTACTGTTTAGATAGAATCTCCTTTCTTAACATTTGAATCCATTGGCTTGGGCCTTCCCTCTGGAGCAGCCAAAAATAAGCTTGTTCCATCTTCCATGGGACAGCCCTTTAGAATTTTGAAGATCACCTCTCTGTCTTCTCTTCTCCAGGCTAATCACTCCAACTCCTTCAAACCATTCTTCAGAAGGCTTGGTTTCTAGACTCTTGAACATCTTGGCCACCTTTCTCTGCACATGTTCCACCTTCTCAATATCTTGAACATCTGTCGCCTGCTGCCTCTACCTGTGGGAGTCCCAAAGGGCAGTTTGCCTCTGCAAGAGTGCTTGGCTTCCAAGAAGGCCAGCCAGCCCTGGCAGCACTTCCTGATCACGGGTACCTGCCTATGCCTTTTCCAGAAGCTCCACAGGGGTTTTTACAAGGAATGGTGGTGAGGTTGCCTCCAAGCGGTGCTTTTTTTCTTTTTTCTAGAAGAAGTGGTGCCGGTACTCATCATGATGTTGTTACAGTAAGTGCCACACTTTTTATCGAAAAAGAGAGAATGTACCATTACTGCACACCCTTGAGTACCCCCTGAAAAAAACCAACCACAACCTCCAAGAGGTTATTCCTTTGTGTGGCACTCAGACACTACGCTCTGGAAAGTAGCAGGTGGAGGTACTGCCAATAAGGGCTTCCCAATTGGCAGTTACCTGTGCCAGGGACTTTTCAATGGTGGTTCTCCATTCATGGAATGCCCTCCCAAGTAAGGTGCATCTGATTCCCTCATTACAGTGGTACCTCGGGTTACAGACGCTTCAGGTTACAGACGCTTCACCCAGAAATAATACCTCAGGTTAAGAACTTTGCTTCAGGATGAGAACAGAAATCGTGCGCTGGTGGCATGGCGGCAGTGGGAGGCCCCATTAGCTAAAGTGGTATCTCAGGTTAAGAACAGTTTCAGGTTAAGAACAGACCTCCAGAACGAATTAAGTTCTTAACCAGAGGTACCACTGTATTGACTTTAAAGAGAAATGTAAAAACAGCAGGCATTTGATGGCTGAAAGGAACTGTTCTCGGCACCCCTAAAACTGCTGGTTTAAACTGATGTTTTTTAAGAATGTCTTTGAACTATTTTTAGTTGTGTGTTTCTAAAATGTTTTATGATTGCTATGACTGCCACCTTGGGCTGCTTTGAGATGAAGGGTGGGAAATAATTCAAAGTATTATTATTATTGCTATTACTATTAATGACTCTACTATTCCCCACCATCCCCACTGTGAACACATCTCCAGGGCTCTCTAAAGAGACGAGACTCTCTCTGTGTGTTGTTGCAGTGTGAGGGTTAGGGTTAGGGCATGGGAATGAAGTAATAAGAATATATACATTTTTTTAAAAAAAATCATATGCTGAATTCCTATGGCACTCCTCATTTCTGCTGGCCTGTATTTGAAGCTATGGATATCTCAGCAGCAGCTTTTAGGAGTTAATGTGGTCAAAGTCATTTGGCTTGCTCAGAACAAGCCGGTCTTCTGAGTCTTGTTATCAGGCTAGGCCCTGTTCATTTCTAACACACGGAAGAGACTAATCCTTATTTGTAACACTCCAGTAATGCTCTTTTAGAAGGTGGCTTGGAAAAGAGGCCATTCCCGTCAACAGCCCAGCATTATTCAGTCTGTAAAAGCCTGAGTGCATTTTCCCCAGTTAAATGCATATTTTACCATTCCTACAGATGGCATTACATAATTGGGCTATGGTATATGAAATAACTCCTTCATGAATCACTGCCTTGTCGTGGCGAAGGGGCTTGAATAACTCAGAGAAGCTATGAGCTATGCTGTGCAGGGCCACCCAAGACAGACAGGTCATAGTGGAGAGTTTTGACCAAACATGATCCACCTGGAGCAGGAACCGGCAAGCCACTCCAGTATCCCTGCCAAGAAAATGGACAAAGACAACAGGCATATAAAAGTTATGACACTGGAAGATGAGCCCCTCAGGTCAGAAGGCGTCCAACATGCTACTGAGGAAGAGCTGAGGACAAGTACAAGTAAATTCAGAGGTGATGAAGTGGCTGGGCCAAAGCCGAAAGGTCGCTCAGTTGCGGATATGCATGGAAGCAAAAGGAAAGTCCAATGCTGTAAAGAAAAATATTGCATAGGAACCCGGAATGTAAGAACCATGAACCTTGGTAAGCTGGATGTGGTCCAAAATGAGATGGCAAGAATAAATATTGACATTCTGGGCATCAGTGAACTAAAATGGATGGGAATGGGTGAATTCAGTGCGGATGACCATCATATCCACTACTGTGGGTAAGAATCCCGTAAAATAAATTGAGCAGTCAACAAAAGAGTGGTGAAAGCTGTGCTGGGATGCAATCTCAAAAATGATAGAATGATCTCGATACGAATCCAAGGCAGACATTTTAACATCACAGTAATCCAATAATCCGGCGTAACACAGTAATCCTGTGTTTAGGGATGCAGGTGGCGCTGTGGGTTAAACCACAGAGCCTAGGACTTGCTGATCAGAAGGTCGGCAGTTTGAATCACTGAGACAGGGTGAGCTCCCATTGCTCTGTCCCAGCTCCTGCCAACCTAGCAGTTCGAAAGCACGTCAAAGTACAAGTAGATAAATAAGTACCACTCCAGAGGGAAGGTAAATGGTGTTTCCGTGTGCTGCTCTGGTTTGCCAGAAGTGGCTTTGCCATGCTGGCCACATGACCCGGAAGCTGTACGCCAGCTCCCTCGGCCAATAAAGCGAGATGAGCGCTGCAACCCCAGAGTTGGTCACGACCGGATCTAATGGTCAGGGGTCTCTTTACCTTTACCTAATCCAAGTTTAGTTTCACCAAACTGCAGGAGGCAGTGGAAGACAGGAGTGCCTGGCGTGCTCTGGTCCATGGGGGTCACGAAGAGTTGGACACGACTAAATGACTAAACAACAACAAAATCCAAGTTTATGCACCAACTACCGGCACTGAAGAAACTGAAATTGACCAGTTCTATGAAGACTTAGGCTCGCGGGTGGCGCTGTGGGTGAAACCTCAGCGCCTAGGGCTTGCCGATCGCATGGCCGGCGGTTCGAATCCCCGCGGCGGGGTGAGCTCCCGTCTTTCGGTCCCAGCTCCTGCCCACCTAGCAGTTCAAAAGCACGTCAAAGTGCAAGTAGATAAATAGGTACTGCTTTATAGCGGGAAGGTAAACGGTGTTTCCGTGTGCTGCGCTGGTGCCGGCTCGCCAGAGCAGCTTCGTCACACTGGCCACGTGACCCGGAAGTGTCTCCGGACAGCGCTGGCCCCCGGCCTCTTAAGTGAGATGGGCGCACAACCCTAGAGTCGGACACGACTGGCCCGTATGGGCAGGGGTACCTTTACCTTTACTATGAAGACTTACAACATCTTCTAGAAATGACACCAAAGAATGATGTTCTTCTCATTATAGAGGATTGGAATGCTAAAGTAGGGAGTCAAGAGATAAAAGGAACAACTGGCAAGTTTGGCCTTGGAGTTCAAAGCAGGGCAAAGGCTAATAGAGTTCTGTCAAGAAAACAAGCTGGTCATCACAAACACTCTTTTCCAACAACACAAGAGACGACTCTACACATGGACATCACCAGATGGGCAGTATCGAAATCAAATTGATTATATTTTCTGCAGCCAAAGATGGAGAATCTCTATACGGTCAGCAAAAACAAGACCTGGAGCTGACAGTGGCTCAGATCATCAGCTTCTTATAGCAAAATTCAAGCTTAAACTGAAGAAAGTAGGAAAAACCACT